TGGCTAACACGGCCTGGGCTTCACCTGCAGGAAACAAACACCAGCCTCAGATAACAGGAACATTTTACCCAATAACCAGACAGAATCCAGACCCACCAGCTGCTTTGTTGATCTGCTCTGCCTTCTCTCCCTCCGACGCCAGAATCTGAGCTTGTTTCCGGCCCTCAGCCACGTTGATGGCCGACTCCCGGGTCCCTTCAGACTCCAGAACCGTGGCTCTCTTCTTACGCTCAGCCTCCACCTTCACACAGTTAGTGACATTAAATGGTGTTTCTGTGATTGTTGTGCAGCTAAAACATTAGAGGTAATATTGCGTAAAGATTTCACAGGTTGTAACAGGTTGCAATCAAAACCACTGATTTGTGCCACGTAGATGCATATTAGGGCTGCAGCAGATAGAAAAAAGGAGCTAATTTCTACTAAAAATTTTATATTAATCTCAAAAATTTTCTAGAATTTTTTTAGAAAGGTTTCAATTTCAAAAGATACAATTTTTTACATTTTCAAACTTACAAAAATTCTAACATTTTTCAAGAAAATTTCTGAGCTTAATCACTCAGAGTTTTTTCAGTTTTGAAAGTCAAAAGTGACTTTTGAAAATCAGAAAAGTTTTCTCTATAAAGTTTATGAGATTATTTGCCCTCCTGTTCCGCCCTTCGGACTCCTCCAGTCTACAGGACATTAAAACATGTTTGTTAAATCAGCCTCAGATTTTATGCAAAACCTTCGTCTGCCCTGTTCTGCATGTTCTGAGCTGTTTTATGGCGTCCTGTCACTTTAAATCCAGATAAGCTTCTGCTGGCCACGCCCTAAACGGAACGTCAACAACAAAACAATCGTCTTTCCAGCAGCCATTGTAGAGCGCATACAGCGGTAAAACCAGTTGACCAAACAGCTGGAGCTCAGCTTGGGTTGCCAGGTAATGGCGGAACTCTATCAGGGGGTTGCTAGGTAATGGTGGAACTCCATCAGGGGGGTTGCTAGGTAACGGCGGAATTCTATCAGGGGGTTGCTAGGTAACGGCGCAGCACCAGTTGATTGTGAATTAACATTTATGTTTTTAAAATGGCTCATTTTCCAGGCAACAACATGAACTTGTTGTCAAATAAACAGCTGGGTGTTTATATTAGCGCTCTGGCTGATTTCAGAGGCAGTAGAAACTATAAAAGTATAAAAACGTTCATAATGCGACCCGGTTCATGACTCCCACCTGCATCTGCATGGACTCTTTGACCCGCGGCGGGACGCTGATGTCTTTGATTTCGTAGCGGAGGCAGCGGATCCCCCACTCGTCCGACGCCTGGTTGATGGAGTGGACGATGTTGGAGTTCAGCGACTCTCGCTCCTGTTGGATCAAACAGACGGATGGAGATTAAAACTCTCCAGAGAAAAACACCTGGAGGGACGACAGACGCTGCTGCTGGGATTTACCCGGAAAACCTTGTCCAGGGTCAGCTTCCCCAGCTCAGAGCGCATGGTGGTCTGGGCGAGCTGCGTGACGGCGTACTCCGGGTCCTCCACGCCGTAGCTGGCCTGAAAGCAGCACGCCGTCACTTTAAGATCACATTAAGATGGCCGCCAACGGCCTGCGCCGTACCTTAAACGGGTCCAGGATCCGCAGGTAGAGCACTCCGTCGATCTGCAGCGTGACGTTATCTAGGCGGGTGAGAAATGAAGACAGATGCTTTTAATTTGAAATGATGGGAGCGTAAAGGTGGTTAGAAGCTTTTATTTTGAAGTGACGCTCACCCAGAGAGACGGCGGATTGCTCCGGGACGTCGATCACGATCTCCTTCAGGCTCTGCACGTAGCGCACTCTGTCCAGCACCGGGATGAGGAAGTTCAGACCCTGGAGGGGAAAACAGAGAGAGAAAAGGTAAAGGACATGGAGGGATGGGGTCAAAGGTCAGAATTTCTAGAGATTTACAGAGACGATTGAGTCAGAAATCTAAAAAAATACTGATAGTTTCTGGTCAAACTACAAATTTATCAAAAGAGAGACGGAAACAGGAAGAGAAGAACCGAGGAAGGAAAGGAGAAGAAGAAGACAAGGCAGGAAGCAAAGAACAAAAAGGAAACAAAAGAACAAAGAAGGAAAGGACACAAGGACGAAAGAAACAACATTTAGGAAGTAGGACTAGGAATATAATCTGGAATATTAAACTAATCGCATCTGATCCAGTTTAGCTGCCGCGTGGGTCCAGCTGGGAGCGTAAACATGGTTACGGGCGGTTCTTACGGGCTCCAGGATGCGGTGGTAGCGGCCCATCCTCTCCACCACCCAGGCCTCCTGCTGGGGGACGAACAGAACCACCGTGTTCATGGGCAGACTGGAGGCCCAGCGCTGCTGGACCGGCCCGAACCGCTGGCTCTGCTGCAGGCGGACACACACACACACACACACACACACACACACACACACACACACACACACACACACACACAGATCAGTAGTGTCTCATTAATTACTAGTCCCAGCGAAATCTGAGTAAATTACAGCAGATTACTGTAATTATAATCTGCAATATAAATGCTGTGATTATCAGTTATATAGTCTAATATTTTCTTTTTCCGTTTTAATTCTCCTCCTCTCTCTGTTGTTGCTCTTTTGTTCTGGTTGCCATGGCTCCATTAACCAAATCTATTTTCCTCCTTTGCTTCATTTCCTAGAGGCATTTAGTCAACATTAAAAACAGAAATAAATCATAAATAAATAAATGATGTCACCACTTTTTATCTGAATTTCTGACACAAAGAATCATTTAGCAACATAATCCACTGCAGTGATTCTCTATATTATGGATCCATGTTAAAATAAAGGAGATCATTTGAAGCCATAGCAGGTGCTAGCTGCCAGCAGCGCCATGTTTTCAGGGTGTTTTAGCAAATAAATGTGTGTAAACTTCATATTTAAGGCAAGTGGTTTTCATTAGGAAAATGCTAATTGACTGATATCATGACATATTGTAAATATCTGGTCTCAGGTGTGTATGGACGCTCCTGTCTCACAGGTGAGACAATTCGGTCAAACTTCCATCAAGCGCAACGCAATAAAAACAATTTTTAGACGTATTAGCGGTAAATAAATACAATAACCAAAACCGCTTGCAATAAAATTAATTTTTGACTCAAAAAATAAAGAAAATCAGCCATTATTTTATGTTTAGACTAGCTTGGTGTAGAGAAACATTTGGTTTAATTTTAACTGACGTCCACGCGCTGAATGACGTCTGATGGCACGAGCTAACAAGCCGAAGAGAACCGACCTGCAAAATGGCGCCGCCTTTCCGACACAGCGTCCGTAACATTCTGCTTATTTATTAAATGTAGTTGTTAGCTACTACTTTGATGGCTCCAGCTTTGTACGCCGGTCTGTAAACGAGCTCACGGCTCATGTGAATGACCCTCTTGTCGGAGGAAATGAAAGTTACATCAGTGGTGCAGTTCTGGAAAAGTCCGCTTACGCTGGAAACAGAAGCTGGGGAACATTAGTTCCGCTGTGATAAATAATGGGACTCTTTTTTAATGCCGTGAAGGGAAAGTGGGCTTTCTGTTTCCTTTTTGCTCGTTTTCAGTTTAACGTGCAGAGAAAACATCTACTAAAACTTTTTTTTTTTAAATATTTTGTTTTCCCTGTCGCTGTAAATCATTATTATTTGCTTTTATTACAAACAAATTTGTCCTGAATGTCAACAAATGAAATAACTTTAAAATGCAAATATTTTTTCATAAACACCATGAATGTTGTTTCTCTAATTTATTATTATTAGTAGTAGCAGTAGGATTACATTTTTGTAAGATGAAATATAATTAAAGGAAGTAAAACAAACAGTACCCCTAGCAAACTGTCTGATTATAACTGCAAAAATATTAAAATAAAGAATATTTGTTGCTATTTCCCTGTGTGTTGCAATACCATGAATATAGAGAAATAACTAATTGCACCACTGTGTATTAGTAATTTTGAACTCTGATTAAAAATATATTTTTCTCATTTTGGTTTTGTACAAATGTAATGACAAAATAGTCTCACTAGGGGGTGCTGTTTGTTAATTGAATAATTAATTCAATAAAGTCCTTGTTTTCCTTCCCTGTCAGATACTAAATTACTTAATATTTAATGTTTCAGATCAGTTTTGAATTCTAACAATTTTGCAATTTTTGCAAAATGCCAAAATGATTTAAAAAAAATTAAATAGAACTTTTTAATCTTTTCTAAAAGCCTGTATGCATATTCATAAAAGTTTACTTCTCTGACTGATGGCCATTAGGAAAGCTGCCTTACTTTTCTTTAAGCCATTTTTACAGTCATTTACAAAACCAATTTCCCCCAAAACTTTAGCTTCCTGACTGATGTCTTTAGATCTTGGTTCTGTATTTCCACATAGTATTCTTTTCTTACAATGGATCCATGTTGTGAAGCGCACCAGTCCCTCTTCCTGCAGCAGAACTTCCTCACATCATGACGCCTCCACAACTGGACTTCAGAGTGAGAGGATGCTGCTCTGCTTTTCTCCTAATGTAACGATCAACTTCAGAATTTTCTCTTTTTCTGCATCTTTTGTCAATTTTTTTCATTTTTTTTTCTTCATGGTGTCACAAGGAAGTTGGTTTTCAATAAACTATATAGTGTCAATCCTAATTGGCCTACAATAGGAAAGGTTTATTTTGATTTAATGTTTAAAAATATGACTAAAATATAAAAATAATATATATAAATCTCTTGAAGAACTGGACCAAAAGCAAACTAATAAAAAAAAAAAGATTAATTTTAATGTGGGTTATTTCATTGTTAGGTCAGGAAAGCGTCACCTGTTCTCTCCTCCCTCTCTCTCTTCCCCGATTGGTGGAAGTTCTAAAGACGCCCCGCCCTCCAGCCGCAGCGCCCCTCTGATTGGTCCGCTGTGACGCCAGTAACAGGTGTCCTCTCCTCCTCCTTTCAGGCGCTCTGCCGGGCTTTTCCATCCGAGTGGAAAGCTGGGATGAGAGTTTTAATAATGGCGTGGACTCAGCGGGGAGCAGCTGCTCTTTACTCCCCGTCCGGTACCCGCCAGAAACCTGCGAGCGTCGAAAAACGGATTTTATTGGAGCTTTGAGAGCATTTTAACGGATTTTGTTATGTTACCTGAGTGAAAGTAAATCTCCACTGAGAGCTTCAAACTGTGAAACTACCTGCTGCTGGTCGCTGGAAGCGCTTTGTCATGTCGTTACTGTGTGTCAGAGGTAGGTCTTTACTCTTCACATCGACTTTAAAGGAGTTTCCTGTGACTAATGGTGGAAAATGATCGTCCCCCCGCAGAGTCACTTCAAAATTAAGTGATTGTATCGAGCACAAAAAGTGCCACAATCCTATAAATCTATTATTTGTTTCATACAGGTTTGATTTAATAAGTGAAATACACAAATAATATTGTATCTTAAAGTATTTCAGCTTCAGTTTGTATTTCTTTTGAAGTTTGGCGTGCTAAAAGTGCCTTAGTTTCACACATTATAATAGTATTTAGATAACAGTTTAAACTTGCCACAAATGTATGGAATCACAATCAATCAAGTCAGAATTAAGAATAAGAATTTTATTTCATGACATTATGAAATAATGTAATCTTAGTTATTTTATGTGCATTATGATAAAGTATGGAGTGCCAAAAGAGCCTCAATTCAACAAAAAACAATATTTAAGTCAAAGTTAAGAATAAGAATTTGATTTCATGACATTATAAAGTTATGTAATTTTAATAATTATTTTTTACATCTACTGTAATATTTATATGGAGTTCCAAAAATGCCACAATATAACAAATTAAGAACTAAGTAAGTAATATTTTGGGACTAATGGGAAATGAATACATTTGATTAAAAATAGTATTAAAATAAAATTATTTAAGAAATTGTAAAATTTTACATCAAAATCTCTTATTTATTAATTTGCTCTTGAAATAAATGAACTAGCATCTGATTGGCCAATCTGCATATTAAGTTCTCTTTAGATCAATTATAATTACATGAGTTGAGTTAGCCCCGCCCACTGGCGTTGATGGATAAAGCCCAATTTATTAAAATATTTTTTATTTCCATTAATATTTAATGATTATAGATTTAATACATTTTTGTACATTTGTTGCCAAATTTATATAACAAACAAAAACAAATGTAAAAAAAAAAATTGAATTATGGCACGTTTAGATTTCCACAGTAAAAGTTAATAAGCATCCTCCAAATATCTGATTAATTTAATATGAAAATACACATTGTATTTACTAAACTATTAACCAGTCAATAAAAAAATTATTTTAGTTTGAATGCAAATTACTACATTGGTTCCGTTTTGGCGTTTGCTGTTTAGTTTTTGTGACTCGGCGCCTCTGCTGACCCAGTTTTAACTCTTTGGAGCAGCAGGAGCCGCTTGAAGCTTAATTACAATTTTATTGTTTGTTTACATTGAGATGCTACAAATATATTTGAGGAAACCATAAAGTGGGAACGGAGCATCCTGCTCCGCCATCTTTACTTCAGCCAAGCACTTTATGTAATTTGTAATTCTGTGGATCGGCTGCAGCAGTTTGACCCTGTAATGCTAACAGAGCAGGAGTGAATAAGCTGCAAAGCCCAAAACAAACAACTGGAAGAGAAAACACAAGAAAATTATTTAAATCAGTCCAATCTGTAAGGAGATTAACAAATAAACTGAGACATTTCTGATCATTTTGGGCTTCATGGTTCAGGTTAACAGAAGAACAGAGTGAAAGACTCAACTTTAGTTTCAGTAGTTTGGTTGGTAGTTTAAGGTTAATGTCTTTATGTGCTTATAAACCAGCTGTAGTTTAATTATAATAGTAACAGAAAATGGTTTTTTCCATCCATAACTTGTGAGATTTTGTTTAATTGCTCTTTAAGATCTCAAGATCTCAAAGAACAATAATGGTGGAAAAATTTGGACTTTGACATGAAGAGCTTGTTGAAACCAAACATGTTTGCGATTTACATCCACATATGGAAGTGTCACAAATCGGATTCATTTCTCTTGGGTGAAAAAATTGAAATTGTGTCGTTCACACTGCCGTGAAAAAGTGTTGCACACGTCGCATTCTGACAAAAAGTATGACTACGGAAAAGAATTTGCCGAATGGAGACACACCAGTCATGAAAAACTCAGGTTTGTGGATAAAAAGCTTTTGCTCCAGGATGAGTTTGTTCCTCGGTTGGATCAAAGTAGATTTATTTTTGAGAAACTGCAAAGGAAACTTTATTCACCTCACGTGTGTCACCTAATCAATAACCACATGTTTCTCCTGGTGGAAAAGACGATAGAAGAGAAGTGGCAGGACAATGTTTTTAATAACTTATTGCATGAATAAAATGATTTTAATTAAGTTTCTTCTTTAATGGAAATAAATATGGAGTTCAAAAAGTGCCACAACATAACAAATAATAATAATAATAATGAAAATAAATAACCCTAAAATTATGTTATTTTGACATTTTTGCTCATTCTGTAATGGAGACATAACTAATTAAGTGTATTTTAGCTACCTACTTAGAAGCTTTGTTGGATAAATCCTATATTAAAATAATGATATTATATTCTAGCATCTTGTAAAATGTATGTTCTGAGCTTCAGCAGCTCAGTAATTATTTTATGAAACTTTGAGGGCTGAAAGGCCGTTTTGAGCTGGACGAGAGGAGAGACGCTCATTTCAGACCTGTTTGCCTCTGTTTCAGAAACAAAAAGGAAACATTCAAACCCAGCAGGTTCAAAGATGGAGGTTTGGTCATTGTGGCGCATCGATGACCAAAACGTCACAAATAAAACCCAAAATTCTCCTCAATGGGCCGATTGAACCCAATCTGGACCTTTCAGGCGTTTCGTCTCTTAATTGCTGTTTGCTGTTGGACGGAGAGCTGATGTTATGACTCACACCCTCATGGCTCGACTTAACGCTGTTGATTATTTATTGCCGGTTGCGATGATTGGTCTCTGTGGCGACGCCGTTTCACAACAGATAAGTGTGTTGCTTTTGCACGAGGCTCTTTGCGGATATGCATGAGTCGCGTCGCGTGTTTCCCATGATCCTGTGGTGTTTTATTCACTGGTCTCTGGCAGAATTAAAACCATTTTATTGATTTCAGTTTGAATAAGAGGAAACATAATGCGACTTTAATCAACCTGTTATATATTCCATCTAAATTAAATTCTATGATGTTGAATTTCTTTAATAAATTAACGCAAGTTTTCATATTTATCAGTTATTCAGGAAAATATGCATTTAGTCAAGAAACATTTACAGGTAGGTTATATTTAAGCAAAAAAATATAAGCACTAATATAAAAACTAAAACATATAAAAACTAATAATTATCTTGCTAAATTATTGAATAAATAGTTTTAATCTGTTATATTGTTACACCATCATATTTTCAGTGTTTCAGGACTGTGTTTCAGGAAGCATTAGCGTCTGCTGCTACATTTTAAGCTTCATTAGCTTCTCTGCTAGGCTAACTCCTGTTAGCATAACTTGAACACAACAATGGACTTTTCCAGCGTCCAATCAGATCGTATTCGGATGCAGACATTAGTCCACCGTGAGCTGAGGAAGCGGTTTCCATCACTGTTGTTAGCGGATGTAGCTTGTGCGTCAGATTTACGGTCGTACCATAAACACAATACAAAGGTTCCAGCTGGAACGTTATAGTTTACAGTTTTACATAAAAATGAATGAACTGGAGTTGAGCTACAGATAAAAATGGTTCTTCAGTGTTAAGTTCATGAAGTCGAAAAGCAAAACCTGACATTTTGAACTTGCGTTTTATTCGTCACTCAGCTGATGTAAATATGGCCGACCTGAACCGCCACTGCAGAGAGCTGAGAGGAACCAGCAGAGGAATTATGGGAGAGAGCGAGGGATCGCCCTGGAGGAGTAATCCCCAGGCCATCTGCTCTCTCTCTCTCTCTCTCTCTTTCTTTCTCTCTTTTTATCACATTTGTTCATTCTTTCTCTTTATTGTCTCTTGTTCTCTCATTCTTTCCTTCTTTCTTTCTTTTTTGTTCATTTGTTTGTAGGTCTTTCTCTCTTTCTTTATTTATTCTCTTTTTTGCCTTTTTTGCTCTTGTTCTTTATTTTGACCTTTATCTCTTGTTATTTTGCTGTTTTGTTCTCTATTGTTTTTGTTCACTCTTCCTTTTTATTCTTTCTCTTTTTTGTTTTATTTCTCTTTCATTTGTTCTTTCTGTTTCTCATTCTTTAGTTTTGTTTTCTCTTTATTTCCCATCTCAGATCAAATCATGATTTATATAAGTGAATTTTAACATATTTCTTCTCTGTGTTGATTCACTGCTCATCTATTAGACAACAAAAGGGGAAACTGTTTAATTCTCCAGGTTCTTATAATCGTTAACCACTCAGCAGGGTAAACTGCATTTTCTGCATTAGGGTTGGAAAAAAGCATCAAAGAACAAGTGAGTTGATAAAGATCTGTTTGCACCATGAGAGTGCTCTGTTTTTTCCACATTGATGTTTCTCTACCTGCTTATTCACGTCAGTGGAAAGAAAGAAAAAGTTTCAGATTTCTCTGCATTTACGCCCGTCCATTAACTCATTGTACCCGCTGTCATCAGTCCTTTAGTTAAAGCTGTTTGTTTTTTTTTTTGCCAAAAATGTTTTTTTGGTATCTGGAAAATAAGCCATTTCAAAAACCTCCATAATTTAATGTCACAGCCCGTTACCTAGCAACCCCAGTAGAATTCTGCCCGTTACCTAGCAACCCCAGTAGAATTCTGCCCGTTCCCTAGCAACCCCAAACAGCCACCCTGAGTTGGGGGGCGTGGCCAGCAACAGGTTGGGTTTAAAGTGACAAGGTGCCATAAAACAGCTAAAATCTCATTAGCCAATAATTATTTTTGTTTAAAAGATGTAGTGAAGATGTTTTGTTTAGGCCATAAACCCATCCTGACCTGTTCAAGGAAGCATTATGGTTGCTTGGGGCACTAACTCAGAGAGGATGGAAATATGAAGCATCAATTTAGTGTGATCCCTCTGTTCCCATCTGGCATGTCAGGCTGCAGAGGTTTAACACACAACCCTACCACAGCAATCACCACTAATCCCCAACAAAGCCCTTCAAAATCCCATAAACGCTACTGTATGGATGCATCAGGGTAACGATGGCAGGTCTGATAAAATAAATAAACAAAATGAAGCAAAAAGTCTTTTTCTTTTGTGTCGTGACGTTTGTTTACCAGATGTTGTGTTTGGTGCTGCAGCTGTCTCAGCTTATGTTTCATGATTATGTTGAAGTTTCGGTGGTGATGAAAGGTTGGCCTTAATTCCCAGGAATGAAACGAGAAAAACGGGATAAATTCAGAAGACGAAAATCAGTCAGACATTTCCAGTTCTAAGTAAGACTCCATTTGGAAGCATTAATGCTACTCTTTTCCCTTTGTAAAGGTTCTGCTTTAAGGCTGTTAAATCTGTGGAAGATTATTGGAGCTGATCTTATTTCTGGTGGAAAGGTTTTTCTGTGGAGGAGCCAGGGGCTTCTTCTACATTTTAGCTAAATTCTGTCATATTCTGTTTCTCTTCTGTTTTTCATTTATTTGTTTTATTCAATTTTAAACCAGATGTTTGCAAACGTCAACCATTTTGTTTCCCCCCATTTGACGTGAAGTCAGACTAAACTTTTGCGGTTTTCAGTGACGAGGACCACTAACTAATCATGAGCATTAGTTCTGCTATTGCTAAAGCTAAATTGCTACACCAGCATAATATTTAGTGGAAGCTAATACTCCACTAACACAGTATTTAGCAAAAGCTAACACTAAAGCACCAAAACATTAGTGAAAGCTAATGCTAAAGTGTCCATATGTACTTAACCTTACTAATATGTGCAGTGAATCAGTGATGCATAATATTTATCAAAATTTTTTAAAAATCTGAGTTTTATATATAAATATATAGAACAATGATCTAACATTTAGTTTTTCTGTTTGTCTTTTTCTAGTGAAAAAAGCCAAGCTCCAAGGACCACCAGGTAAGAACCTTTAGTTTTATTTTAATGAAGAATCAAAATGGTTCACATTTTACACATAAGAATGAAGTTGTGCTCAGGTTCTTCGTCAGAGGTTTTGGTGTTGTTTCCTTCAGCAGTTCTCGGTGCAGCGCCCCCACAGGTGAGGAGAGGAACTGGTTTTTCAATTCGTTTGGTTTGTTTACTCAATGCAAAGTTCAAATGAAACAAATGTTACAATTTTTATCCCCTTTCGAATCAAATCTGCTGGGATGTCAAATGTGAAAAGACGCTTGGAAAGCATCTCAAAGTTGCGTCACTGAAGCTCTGGAGGTCTAGACTTGGCCACACCTATTTTAAAAGCTCTTAATTAGTGCTGATTACCCTAAAGTCGGTGTTGTTGGATGTTGGCCACATGCAGTTTTCTCATTTAGGTTAATCGGTTACATTCTGGCAAGTGAGTGAAAGCGGGTTGATTATGGATTAAACCTGCGTCCTTCAGCCAGGTGAGCTCATCTCCTGGGAATAAATCCTCGTGCGGCGCGCGCTTACGCCCAAACTAAAGCCCAGCGACATTTCAGGGAAGAGCAGGCAGGAGCTCCAAGGGGAAGTTATGATGTTTGACTCGCATCGATTGGAAACTTAATCATCCCTGCAGATGTTTGCATGTGCTAAGCCTCTTCTTCTTCTTCTGTTATAAACTGCAGCGCCTTCCTGTCCCAGAGCAAACATCAGAGATAACTCTGCTAATCCAGCCACTTCCTGAAGTGTCAGGTTATCATAACAGACTCTTCTTGTAAAGCGTTAAGCCTTGAAACTCTGTAAATGTTAGTTTTGTTGCTGACATTTGTATTCAAAGATGTTCAATATGTTTTTTTAGAATTGCTCAATGATGCAAAATCAGAGAATGTGAAGTGAAACAGTGAAATGTTTGCTTTACAGAAATCCAGTAAGTCCTACATTCATTAAAGTGCAGCTTAATAAATGATTGTTCTTCTGAAATTCAATATATAAAGTAAAACTTATATTTTATATGAATTAATTGTACACAGACATAAATTTAGATGATTATTGCATACAGGTGAGTTCTGTGTTCCAGAATATTGATAGAAAGTTGAGTGGAAAGAAAATAAATAAAACGTTTATTCAAGAGTTTTCATATAAAATACTTTGGTTACAGAAGTTTTTGTGTCCTTTCCTTTGTTAGCTCTGGGTGCAGCGCCCCCACAGGCCAAGAGAGGAACAGGTTTTCCAATTATTTTAGTTTGTTAGACGCAGAGCAAAGTGAAAGCAAACTTTGGTCCCAAATCAAACCTTCTGGATTATCAGGTGTGACAACAGATTTACTCTCAATCTATTTATCAGAATTGCTGACTCTGCCTTTTGTCTGAGTCGTAGTTTGCATCCATTGCATTCAGAGCCAGAATTGAACAACATTTGCTATTCCTGGCGCCGTCTGTCTGCTGTTTTCGACATCGTTCCTCGTCTTAATTTTTATTTACTCTTCTGAAGCAGACGTGAAGTTCTGCAAGACGCTCTAAAGTTTGCATAAGGTTGGTCGAGGAATGTTTGCGTTGTGCTTCTGCCGCACCTGCCTGTCTTTCCCACCTGATTTTGGGTCATGTGTTGTACCTGGAAGCGCCGCCATTTGGATCAGAGTGACCTGGTCCGGGCCGCCGGCCAGCTGCCTCCGTTTCCACCGCCTGCTGCAGGAAACCGCGGCTCGACAAGGAAATATTCAGCAATCGTTTGTTTTTCTTCTCCTGTTTTCACACTAAGCCTCATTCTTCACCTTTAACAATAAAAATAATTCAGGCTCAGATTATATATTTATGAACATAAACAGTTTTAGACGCTCTTGGTGATGGAAGAGGTTTGGAAATGTCAGTTTTCCGCCTGCCTGAGTTTTTCCTCAGTAATTTATTGAAAAGTAGATGAATAATAAATGAAGACATTTGACTGAAGCCTCAGGCTGCGTGGGAGGTTTATCTGATGACTGATGTCTGCTCTCTCTAAACATCATCCTACGGTCGTAATCCCTCCATGCGAACAAGCAGCAGCTGCAGCTCCGCTTAATAAGAAAAACAAAAACTAATTTTAACATCTTATTTAAAAAAAAAAACTTTCATTTTCACCAGATTTGCTACTCAGGATTAAGTTCAGCTTTTTGTCATATAACTTCAGTTTTGGACATTTTGGCGAAACGATTTGTAATTTTTTCATTCACTTTCAACAAAACTACACAACTGGTGTTAACCAAATATTATATTTTCTAAGATTCAACCGTTTGTAGTTAAACACAAACAATGCTGCAGCTAAAGAAATTGTAATATTATCAAACAGTAAATGTATTTTAGTTATTTGACTCAAAATGTGGTATTTATATGGAAACCTGAAAGTGCCATAATTAAACAAAGCCGTTTAACATTTAGACGTGTTTCTGCTTCAACACACCTCAGCTTGTTTAAATTTAAAGTGACAAAAAAAAAAATCTCATTATCTATGAATTGTGCAAAAATTGTGCTGAAGATGTTTTTGTTATTCTGTAAACCGATCCTGACCTCTAGAAATAGTTTGTTTTTAGTAAAAAATAGTCCTACAGTTTTTGATTTTGCCCAGATAGTTGTGTTTCCACCTAATTGCGAACTTTTAAAGTGTCAGGAAAAGGAAAATAAATGTGTATTAGATGTGTTTTCACCTGTTGGTTTGGAGCGAATCAACCAGGCTATGGAAGGCTTGAACTGACCACATGATGGCGCTGCATACGACTTTAATAAATAGGATTGCATATCGTGCCTCTGGATCGCTATATTAGAACTTACTCAGCCAATGGGAATCCATCTTCAGCTTATTTTCGTAAAAAAGCGAAACCATCAAAGTGAGAAAAACTTTTTTGTGTGAAATTGAGGAAGTTATTTAAGAATCTCTTGTTTCCATCAACGCCAGTTCAAAAATCCTTGACGGAAACACGGCCAGCGCTTCATTTGTTGCAGAAGGAGTTGCATTTCGCTGCTGCTTTGTCTGGTCAGATGGACGTTTTGTGTCTTTTCCAGGCGGATTTTGCTGCTTCCTCCTGAACGGAGCAGATTACATCAGCGGATGGTTGACGACACCTGCTGTAAAAAGGCCCACAGCCTCTAAACGGCTGCTATCTAATCCATACATCCTCTTCCTGTTATCTGGCGCTGGCTGGAGTCGGCCCAAGTGAGGCACAAGGCATGAGCGATTTAATTAGGGACGGGCCGGCATGTCCCCCAGGCTGCGTTTTCTGGCCGCTGATTAGGTTTATTTTCTGCCTGGTTACTTTCACAACTGCTTTTGGTGTTTAAAGTATTATTTTTTTAAGCTTTCCTCTCAGTCCGGATCTCCTTCCAGTTTACTTATCCGGCTCCAGTGCAGGGTAAATGTTTTAGGCCGTTGCCCTGGCAAACGTTGATGGGAGCAACAGCTGATTGGTGGCTTTTTTTCCCCAAACATCCAGAGGTGGGTCTGATTGAACCCCCCTGTTTTACCTTTACATCCTGATTCCTGGGCCACAGATTGTTGTAATTTTCAACAAACTGGTTCTAATAACGCGGCTGAAAGCTGTGCATGCTTGAGACCCAATCTAAAAATGCTTAACAGTTTAAACTCAAAATATAACTCAATTTGCTTAAATACACACAGTAGAAACCATGTTAGCGCTACCACTGAAGCTAACGTCAACAGATTTTAGGAGAATCAGCCAATCAGACTGTAGGAAAAATGAATGCCACCACTGGATTGGGTACTTTGGAAATCAACTAGCATTGCTGCTAGGTATGTTAGCTTCCCAAATCGCTTACATTTGTAATACTTTACATATAAAAAGTATCTATTTGTAATCCATTCCACACATTTTTTTTTTGCATAAATCATTCTTAGATAATGAGAATTTAGGGCGTCTGTCTCTTTAAATCCAGATAAAATGCTTTTGGCCCAAAACTACCTTACAGCTTAGAAAAGCAGAGATGGATTTCACTATATTTGTGTTTTTATCACCAAAAACTGAAGAACCTTATTGCTGAAATGTGCTTCACAAATAAATGTGATTTATTAAAAACAAAATAAACTGAAGGGATTAAGATTTTTTGTAATATAAGATTAGCTTAAGTAGCTTCTGCTACTTGTATCATTTTTGTCCAGTTAATCACCAGAATGCTAAATTACTAAAACAATCTTTAGCTGCAGCTTTACAGTTGGAAGTTCCAGGCAGTAAAGGTCAGAAGGTCACGGTCCTGCTCCTGTTCTGTTTGCTGTCAGAGTGGCGAGTAGTAGGAAACGACCCCCAGCTGTGACGGTGATGCCGCTTCCCGCGGCCCGGTGCAGGACATGCAGCGGCGGCGACTCTTCGGCTCCGCCTCCCAATCTCCTGCCCCTCAGCAGCAAACATCTGGCTGACAGGAAGTCCACGGATCTCTGGGTGTGAAAACACTCCGGCTCTCTGAGCTCGTCTCTGATTGGCCGCGTTTCTGAATCGCTCACCTCGAACTGGATCGTTTCAGACAGCTTGACCTTTAACCCAGGTGGATTTCAGTTCAGCTTTGATTGGGATTAGGGCTGACGGCGACCTTTAGCGGTACATCCACAGGTCAGGGGTCACCAGGAAACGGTCCAACACGGCCACAGGCTGCATGGTTATGGTGTCCATAGAAACTGTGAGGCACGTTCATGACAGGAAGTAGTGGAGGCGACGCTTGGCGAGCGTCTGGCGGCGATAAGTTTGGTTCTCTGAGGAGATTAACGGGTCAGCGGAGGCAGATTGATCTGCTTTCACTCTCAGTGGATCGACTGATCCCTCATTAGCAGATGCTGAACACAGCAATCAGGGCAGTTCAGTTCGGTTCAGTTCATTTCGGTTCGGTTCAGTTCGGTTCAGTTCAGTTCAGTTCAGTTCAGTTCAGTTCAACAGGTAAAGGTGAGTTTCAGCATCAGAGTTAGATCAGGAAACTAAGAGTCCGTCTGTCCACTGTGTTCCATCCACTCTTCTGTCCATCCATTTTTATCCACCTGTTTGTCTCGTCGTTGTAAAAATGGCCGACATAATAAAACGTTTATCTCGATGTTTTCCATCGTTTTTGTTTTTTATCGCCAAACTCGCTCAGCGTTACTTGGATCTGCAGCCGATTCTCCTTCTCTTCCTTTGAATCCTCATCGTTGCTCCAAGCAGAAATGCTTCAGGTTTTCTGTCCTGTTTTGTTTCAGATAAGTTCAACACCTACGTGACGCTGAAGGTCCAGAATGTGAAAAGCACGACCATCACGGTGCGCGGCGACCAGCCCTGCTGGGAGCAGGACTTCATGTTGTGAGTCACTGAACAAACTTTCACACATTTATCAGAAACAAACCTTCACTGCGGGTCTGACTCGGCAATAAGACCAAATGGCCGTAACTCTGCTGTTGACCTTTGACCTACTTTGACAGCATTATGCTGCAGCTGCTTTTGCTGCCACTCGTTTAATTTTCTGGATTTTGATGACACGGCCACCATGTTGGTTTGCCTTGCGTCATTGTTTGTCTTTGCTGCGGTGTTTGTTTTTCCAGGCCTTCATCAGCGTCTGTCAGAGGCAACATGCCGAGTTTCCAGCAACCAGATCGACTCAAATCCAGAAAGTTATCAGTTATTTTAGGAAAAATCCAAACTTTATTCTCAGTTCAGATTTTTTTTATTATGAAACTCCTATTTTTTATTTTGCCTGTCTAAACACTCAAGCAGTATGAATGAAGTTATTCTGGAAAAAAAGAGAAGTTGAGGAGAGGAAACAACTGTTTTTCAAAATAAGAGCATGTATATAAACATCTAGCTACTTAAAATTTTTACTAATTAAATGCGACCACAATCAGATTTCTGTGTGAACATTTTACGACTCCAAGCGAGTGTTAGCATTTGTTGCTAAGACTCGGCTTCCCTTAAATTAATCTTTCTGGATCATTTCTAAAGCGCTAATTTGCTTCTGTGTTTTGTAAACAAAATTAAATGGGTGCTTCCGGGTTGCACTATCTGAATGGAAGATTTAATTTCAATTGAAGTTAGCGCTTTAGCATTAGCTTCCAGTAAGTACAATGCTGACGCAGCGCATTTCCGTTAGCATATCCAATGTTTATGATTAGCGCTTTCGGGTTAGCATAGCTAGCTTTTTAGTTAGCAGTGTGCATTACTTATTAACCATTCAAAATACATTCACTAAAAAACAAAATCAACATTTTTAAAGCTATTTTTTTGTTGTTTTATTATGTTACCTGATGATTTTTGTGCTGTTAAAACTGATTTTGTCCTTATTTGTTATAAAAAGTCAATAAAGTTTGAGATTCTAATGTTAAGTAAAATGGAGGAAAAAAGTTTGTGGATCATTTTTCAAGCTACCCAAGAATGAAACACATTTTACATATTAATTAATCACATACTGGTGTTTTGAAACCTTTATTTCTGTTAATTATGTTGATTTTCCACTTGTAGTTAATGAGAACATGACATTTTAAAAACATTTCATAATATAGAGATTTGGGTACAATGAAAAGTAACACCAGCTTAAATATTGTTTTCAATAGGAGCTTTGAAAAAAGAGGCTTTTCAAAAGGCTTATTTTAATTTATTGAATGGAATGAAATGGATTATTTTGAGTTTGGTAATTTCTCCAAAATGCTCGTCTGTTTTTTTAAAGCAGCAATTTAACAACATTTTCAGTTGCTTCCTGAAATGCTTGTTAGTTTTCTTGCATTAAATGATAAAAATCGCCACCCCAGACAGTTAAAGTCTCCCAGTTTGTCCCAGTTTGATGATGGGATCTGTGGTTTATTCTTCTCAGCCTTCATCTCTGCACCTGGCTGCTCCGTTCCAATTATCTGCTGCCTTTGATTATCTTTTCTCATCTTCCTTTTGTTGGCTCTCGATGCGTCTAAACTTCAACATGCAAATGTCCCAGTCATCCTTTCAAAATGGAGGCCTCTTTTTATGCTGCCATCAAGCCCTTTGAGAGGCATGTTGAATGAAATGAGGCAGAGGTGGATTATAGCAGCTAAAACACAGCAAAAAGCGTCTTTTGTTGCAGCCTGATGGTAATTATGTCGAGATTTCACCTCTATTAAATGTTTTTCTAAGCAACAAAGCTTCCTGTTCTTTTATCTGTGACATTTTCCACTGGGTGCGTTAGGAAAACATCAACATTTCCCAGTAAAAACGCTGTTTCTGCTTTCAGTGAGATCAACCGGCTGGACCTGGGGCTCATTGTGGAGGTGTGGAACAAAGGCCTGATCTGGGACACCATGGTGGGAACGGCCTGGATCCCCCTGAAAAACATCCGCCAGTCTGAGGAGGTCAGAGATCAAACTTACCCAGCGACAGATGACGCCCAGAAGCGCTAGCTATCGCGGCTAACAGGCGCTACAGCTGGTGCCTGTGAGCAGCGGCTGATGACATCACTGCGGTGAGAGTGAAATGTTTCTCCGTTTCCGATCACAGGAAGGTTCAGGCGAGTGGATCTTCCTGGACGCAGAGGTTCTGATGAAGGCTGATGAGATTTACGGCACCAAGAACCCGACGCCCCACCGAGTCCTGCTGGACACGCGCTTCGAGCTGCCGTTCGGTGGGTCTCATAAAACTATTAATCTGTTTTTACAGTGTCTCATCAAACCGCTGATGCCAAACAAAATGGCTGCAAGATTAATTGATTTTATTGATTAACCAAATTATTTGTTTTTGAAGATTTTATTTTTGTCAAAAGTAATTTCCTTCTCTGTTCTTTTTCTTTCTGTAATTGAATCCAAATGAAAGTGTTAATTGAATCTGTCTTTTCAGTAAAGTCACATTTATTATTTTTTTAATGAAATACTGTAATGTTTATTGCTAATATTTTATTAATAAATCTTCACTAATATTTTAAGATTTTTTGATAAAATTGTATGAATATATTATTGCTAATATTGTATAAATAATTTATTGCTAATAGTTTATTTGAATATGTTAAGTTCATGACTAATGTTTAATATTTATTGCTAATATTTTACTACAAATAGTTTGCTGAGGTTTTGTAAAGATAATTTAAAGTTTTTTGTTAGTTTACTGCTAAAATGTCATTTTAAAAAAATTATAGTTTTTCTTTAAAAACTTGATTATTGGTAATATTTTGTTAAAAATTGTTCAATATTTTATTCCATTTTTTGCTAGAAATTTTTTGTTCCCTTCTAATATTTTGTTAATAGTTTTTGCTAATTTTTAAAGTTTTTTTTTTTTGCTTAAATTTCTTTGTTTTTTCTCGTTGAGTTTTGAATTTAAATTTTTTCTGCTACATGACAAAAATATGCAAACCTCCTGTGTTGAAGAAAGTACGTTTATGTGTTTGCGGCCTAGTTAAAGTAAAAAATAAAATAAAAAATCTGCATCACACAAGAATATTATTTCTGTAAATGTCTCCATTAAAATCTTGAGCCTTTTCTGGGAGAAAAATGTTGGTTTTTGACATGGATGGCAGGAAATCTGTCACATTTTTGAATCTTTTTTTTTGTGCAGCGTCACATTTTTCACGGCGTGCTGGTTGCTGTTCTGAGCAGATCAAAGTTGCTGCTCAGCAGCGCGGTGGCGCTTGGCGGCCATTAAAGCTGCAGGTCGGCGTCTCTTTGAAGGCTTTGTGCCCTTTAATGTGCATCTGCAGCCGCGCAGCTTCAGCTGGGAATAATGCGACGCTCCACTTCCTGTCGCTCACATTTTGTTCCAGTTTATTTCACATACACTGTAAATAAATAATGGTGTGTTTTCTGAATTATTAACTCCAGATATCCCAGAGGATGAAGCGCAGTATTGGACAGGGAAGCTGGAGCGAATCAATATGGGAATCCATGATGAGGTAAAATTCAGATAAATTCAACTTCAGATAAATTTAGTGAATTTGTTTTTTAGTTACCGACTGAATCCATAAATAGTCGATTCTTCTTCATCACTTTCTCTAATTTATTTGTGCAAAATAAACCAACACCTGTTTCTGTTTACAATGAGAAAATACAACAAAAAAAAAGATTTTACTGCAAATACTTTTTCCTTCCACTCAACTTTTCATTTACGTTCTTGGATTTACGTAACATGCACTGCAAAAAACTAAATATTATCAAGTATTTTATGTCTAGTGAAAATATTTAGTATGATAAAACTGAATTACAAATAACCTTTTAGTGAGCTGTAGGAGTTTGCTTTAAATCAATAAAGCAAACTTTATTGATTTAAAGCTTTATTGATTAAACTACAACATGTTTTCTTTCCACTAAACTTTAATGTGTTTTTTACAAGGCAGTGTCAGTTTGAGCCCATGTTCCTTCCTCTTAACTTTTTATTAATATTCTTTTAATACTAAAGTTATTAAGATGCGTCTTTAACTTCTGGGGAAAAAGTATTTAAAACCTGAAATGATGTTTGATTCTCTGTTTTCTCTGTAGTTTCCTCTTCCAGATGAGGACCAGAGGACTCCGCTGCAGTGTGCACCCTCCCAGTGCTGTGAGTTCCCTCTGTTCTCCGTTCAGCCACTAGAGGGCGTCAGATAATTTAGTTTGAGCTTTCTTCTGTTTCTTTCTGTATCTTTTTATCAGAACCAACCAAACTTTTTGTCACAGCTGTTCAGGTTGATGTAGAGAACTTTTTTTTTTCTTGCTGCCTCCGTTTGGTCTGAAATCTCATTTGTAATATTTGCACTTTCACCAGGCAACTATTTCGGATGGGCTGACCCACTGAGTATGTAACGCAACTTAATGGATCTCTTCTCCTGGCCAACCCTAAATATTCCTGAATTAAATCTAACCTATAACTTTTCCATTCATTTTATTCATGTTTCTGCAGTCTAATACATTTTTTCCTTTTGTTTTCCTTGATGTCCTTTCATTCCCACCAATCTCTTGCTGCTGGATGTAAAATCTGTTTTATTGTGAGAAACGTTTGACAATAGATGTTGGAACTGAAATATGTTTGAGCTTTTTGGAGGGAATGCTTTCCTGAAAGTCTTTCCCTCTACAGACAGTGAGAGAATAACAAGAGAAAATTTAAACTGCAGTACCATGTTTCCACCCCAAGAGGGCAGAATTTCAATGTTTTTAGCCCAAAATTTTGCAGAAATAAACAAATTTACACTAAAATGTCAAAATGTTTAAAGAAATTTGGACAGAAACAAAGAAAACACCATTAAAGACCAATTTAAATAGTTTATAAGCAAAATGAATTTTAATTGGGGATTAGTTGCACTTAAAGAATGATTAAAATGTTTAAAATCTGAGCGATTCTTGTTGTGATTATGCCAGAAAGATTTCTGCTTTCAGATTATGGCCTCCTTGCAGCCATCTGAGGACAGCAGGATGTATCTGTAATAAATTTACTGCCTCTAATTAAAAGGGGGCGATGTCTAATTGTGGTTTCTCTCTGTTTGCCCAGATTGAATCACTCACACATCACACTAGGCTGTTCCTTGGTAACCACTCACAGCCCCATTATAATCCAGCTGCTCATTTATTCTGCAGTGTTGCTCCGAAAAATCCTGTTTTTAGTTGGACTGGATTAAATTTACTGTTACATTTACTGTTGTGTGCTTTAATATCATTTTATCTATCAAATCAAAGCAGTTTTTATTTTTTTACTGCATTAATGAGTCAGTTAATTTTTTTGCGGAAATTGAAGCCAAATAATTAGATCCTTTGTCTTTTTGCACTAATTCATAATTATGGGTTTATTCCAAATTTTCCACAGAAATAATCAAAAACATCGGGTTTAAGTGACGCTAACTCCCACCAGCAGGTGGCAGTGATCGACGTGGCGAGTAACAAAACTTTTATCGCAAATATTGCAAAATTCTTCACCTAGCAACCCAAACACAAAATCAAATGTTTTATTTGATTTCTGTGCAGTTTCTAATGTAAATATCTTGGTTCATTTGAAATAAAATTAAACTAATTTCCAAGCAACTTTTTTGACAAGACAAAGGAACTATTTTTAAATAAATAATTTGTAAGTATAACAAAGAAATTTAAAGTGACAGAACCCAGAAAACAACTCATTCTGAAATGAGCGACTAAAATCTCTTTGTCTAAGAAGGATTTTGAGTAAAAAGAAATGATGGACCTTTCCTAACTTGTTCAAGTAAACATTTAAAGGTGGAAGGTCGTCTTTCAATTAGTTTTATTGATCAGATCTTCCTGCTGCAGCTTTGGACGACCAGGACAGCGCCGTGGACGACCGGGATAGCGACTACCGCAGCGAGACCAGCAGCAGTTTGCCGCCTCGGTACCACACCACGGCCCAGCCCAACTCGTCCGTCCACCAGTTCCCCATGGGGCCCCGCGGCGCCCAGCTGCAGCCACACTGCTGCACCGACTCGGTCCACAGCTTGGACCTGGACTACCGGGACCAGAGAGGAAGCAGGTAGAGCCGAGCATAAACACTCATTCACACTCTGAACACTGCAAAAACACAAAGTCTTTTTTGTCTAAATTCTACTGCAAATATCTTATTACACTTCAAATAAGGCAAAACTAACTTGCAGGTAACTTTTCAGCAAGATATAGAAGCTTGTTTTACATCAATAATTCATAAATATGGATAAAAACAGTAGTTTCAATAGCAGATTATTTCTCTGGTCACATTGGAAAAATGTCAAAATTAAATAATCAACTAGTGGAACTAGTAAATTTTTATTCTGGATTAAAGAATTATGAGATTAAATTAAGCTCTTTCTTCCTGTAAAGTTACTTGTAAGTTAGTTTACCTTTTATAACACCTAGTGTATGGCTGAAACAATTAATCAATTAATCATTAATTAGTGTATACATTTAAAATAAAGACCATTTGCTGAATAAACAACATATTCAGAACATATGTCAAAGCTATAAAAATTATTATATTTTGGATTTAGGATAAAAACAAATTTGTCTGTAAATATCTTCTACCTCAAATTGTTAGTATTAAATTGTATTAAACTATTTTCATAATTAAAACTGAATTTATTTGATTTATTTGCATCTTTTGATGTATTGCTAATGTTGTATAAAAAAGCTTAAGTGGTTAAATAAAAAATTTGTACTGTGCCAATTTAGTTGCAGTCTTACTTTTCGTTAATGTAATTTGAAACAGCAGCCTTACTAATGACATTTTCACCAATTTAAAAACCTGTTTTAAATTGGTGTCATTTATATATTTTATTTTTGAGAAACTGAATTTTGACTTGTCATTAAATATATAATAATCAGCTTTAAATATTTTTTTGAAATACCATCACTTTTTGGAGATTATTGAGTGGTATTTGTTGGCATTAAAATTATTTAAAAAAATAATTTTGAAGGGAGTTTTTGAATGTGCAGTTGTCAGACCATAGAGAAATGCTCTTAGATTCATTTACACCAGTGAGAACAACACAAATCTGTCTGCGCTTCCTGATAGCAAGCTGCTAATTCTGCTGCAGAAAAGAGAATAAAAAATGGGATTCAAGCTCTTTGTTTCATTTTGTCAAAGAATCTGTTGTGCTGCTTCGGCTCCTCTGCAGTTTCAGAAGCTTTCGGAAGAGAAAACCTCTCTGTGACGCTCCCAGAGGGAGAGGGTCAGGCTTCTCTCTTTGGGGATTATAAACTTCTGAACCAAATGCCGTATGTTGGCGATTTAGGGTTTAGAGAGCTGCTAACTGTGACATTTGTTCAGGCTAAATCTAAATTTGTTCAGGCTTATACAAATATGGTGACACAATATGTTTCAACACAAAAACAGAACTATTAACCATGCAAAATGCACAGAGGTGTGAATCTGCAAATATTCAGTCTCTCCAGGATGTTTCTGTTTGCTTTTATTTATCTACCTTTGCATGCAGTTTTCCTGTCTTAATGGCTTCTTTTTATCTTACTGTCTAACTTCTGTGTTTTTGTCTTCAATTTTTCTTTTTCTTTTTTCTTTGCTTCCCCTTCGTCTTTCTTTCTGCTCCCATCCTTTACTCACTAAGATCTTTAAACCAGAAGGGAAGAGTTAGAATAATACCTGTAGATTCTGGCATGGGGTTTGAAGAGTGGGAAAACAAATACAAAGGACGATCAAAGCCTCAGCTGAGCGACTTCCTGGATGACAAGGAAGACACCGTAATCTTTCGAATGGGAAGACCTTACCCGGAGCCGACGAGAACAACAGTCAATCAACCTCAGAGCAGTTTTCGGGCTGCAACTTACCCTGAAAGCTATGACACTATTGACCGAAGGAGAAAGAAAAAAATAATGGACCCTGGAGGGCTTCTCCGCAACCACGGAGAAGAGACGCCTGCCGATCGTCTTGCAAAGTTTCCGGAGAGAAGAGGGGAGTCATTCCTGCGACAGGTAGCAGAGATGCAGGAGGAAGAGGAGCGCTTCATGACTTCATCGTGCCTCAGGCCGTACAAAGACGGACTTCTCTACAAAACAAGGATGTGGGCGAAAAATGACCTGGATAACACTTTGGAGAACTATGTAGCATATAAAAAAGGGTGCGAACCTCATCCGAAAGCGCGGTTTGACTTTGAATTTGACTGCAGGGATGCTACGTACCCTCCAGCGGTCAATAAACATACTAATGACTTTGTGGCTGGAGACTTTTACGAGCAGCATCACAAGGAGCGGCATCCCAATGAGGCTACATGGAGTATCCCCAGGGTCTCCGTGAAAAGAAGTGTGGCAGAACTGGAGGATGGGTTTCTGAGGCGATACTTTCCCCTGTAGAGCCGATTGATGAATATGTTGACCCAATGGATGAGCTTCAGTGTCTTGTTGAGACGGTCTCTGAATATCTCGCTGAAAAAGAAATTAGTAAATATGGTTCCCTTCCCAAATCAAGCAAGTCGAGGCTATCGTCTCTGGGTAGCAACCGGACAGATTCATTTGGAGAAGATCAGAGTATTTCAAAGGACTGTAAAGAAGAAGCTGATTCGGATCAGGGTATTTCAGGTGTGAAGAATGCAATGAGCTCATTGTTTTGCTCCATCACTGACAAAGTAGGAGGGGAATGAAACAACCTTCACCGGCTCCACAACCTGCACAGTCTGGCATAACAAGGCTTCTATCCTTTATCCCCACAAAGGCAACAGCACGGCTCCTGTAGCAGTCGTATCTCCAGTAGAAACTTCTCCCGACAAGTCCTTCGGTTCTCTGTCTCAGAACAAAACACAAGTCCCACAGGAAACAGGAAGTTCTACTCGAACCTTAAGAGAACATTCACCCAAGGTCCAGACTCAACCGCAAACTACACCAGGAAACTCAGTTATGGAAAAATTGAATCCTTTAAAGCTTTTTTCAGGAGGTGAAGTTCAAAGTTCTGCTGAATCCAAGCAAGAGTTTGAGACTAAATATTTCCAAGCAAAGAACCAGTCTAACGGAAACTGGGTTTCTAAAACCGTTCAAGGTAAACAGTCAATGACGGACGTTGGTGCTATGAAATCAGTGAGGTTGGGGAGTTCAGCTCAAGAAAACTATCTGGTGCACAGTCATGACAAAAATATACACTGGAAACAAAATCCGATATTTATGAGCAAAATTTAAATCCTCCAGAGACTCAGAAGTTTACTGACCAAACTACAAACACAGGATTTTTTAGCCCTTTCAAGAAATCATTGAGTTCATTGATTACACCAGTAGGTCTTGTTCCACCTCCAAATGCTCCTCCTGTGGCGGTTTATCCAGTGTTTCGAGCTAACGAGAATCCACAACCACAGAAACCAGTGGGGAACCAGCCACTAAGTAGCAAGCCAAAACTGCCTTTTGTCCCCTCAGAAAATGTTCCTACTCAGCAGTGTCCAAAACCAGAAGGAGGTGTACTTTCTGGTTTTTTGAGATTTTCATCCATTGAAGACACTGGTGCCTCTATGAAACACAGAATTACCCACAAGAATATCATGATACTTCCCATGCCCCTACCGCCGTCCCACAAGAAAATGCAGAAAAAGGATGGTTTTCCAGCCTCTTTAACCCCTCGCCCAGTCCTGCTGGTCCAAACCAGAAGACTAATGTTCATCCTCAGAGCAGCAGAGTGCCAACTGACCGACAACATACCTCAAATCAAAAGCCAACAATAATGCCACAAAACCCTAATCAGCCTGGATCTCAGCATTTCAGCACAACACCTTTGAGAGGCAGCTCAGCCGAAAACATTTCTCAGATCGGCTCTAGTCAACCCAAACAAGGACTGCTATCTGGACTACTTAGCCTTGGTTCTGGTAGTGACTTGTCTGGCAATCCATCACCAAAAGGCAATATTCCTCACACTCTAGCTCCCAACAAAGTTTCACCACTCCCCAAAAAGGTGGCCTTCTCTCAGGACTATTGAAGTTTTCGTCGACAGAAATATACCACAAAATGTACAACAGCAGCCGCCTGAAGCTGAAAGGCAAAGGGAAATGCGCAGCAGTAGCCCTGGACAGCAACAGACATCAGGCGAAACTCATCAAGTACAACCTCAACAGAGAGGCTTGCTTTCTGGCTTACTAAAGTTTACCTCCACTGAGAATACTTCAAATTCTCAAACAGATCCTCGATCTAGCAGTGATCAACAGCAACAAGCTAGCAGTGTGCAGAAAACTCAAGGACTAAGTGGAGGTATGAGAAACAGAAGAATGAGCCAGCAAGAAGTCCAAGAAACCTCTAAACCAGACTTCATTCGACAACAAACTGTTCCACCTCAGCAACCGTCGCAACAAGGTGGTCTTTTATCTGGTCTTTTCAAATTTTCTTCAGCTGACAGCATAAATAAACAAAGCCAACCATCAGCACAGCAGCATAAGATTTCCTCTAGTAAATCAAGTCATGAGCAGCCAAGACAAAGCGATTTCCCAATTTCCAACCAAAATCAGCCTCAAAGTAGCACAACCCAAACAGCTCAAGGAACTGGTCTGTTTTCTGGACTTTTTAAATCCTCTTCAGAAATGTTTCTCAGCAACAGCCACACAAAAGCACCCAGGAGATTCAAGTAAATCAGCAAGTCAAAGTGCCTTGTAGCCAGCCTTGCCCAACACAGACAGAGGCAGCAAGTCAATCGGGAGTGCTTTCTGGGTTGTTCAGCAAGTTAACGAAAACACCAGAAAGTTCAGACCTGGCCTGTCAGAAATCAGCAGAAAAATCAATTCAAGAAAGGAACGTTGTGTCTACAGTTGCAAAGACAACTCCACACCAAGACCACATCCTTCATTCTGTTGCCAATTTAAAACAACAGCCCTTACAAGGACATGTAGATAAAGATGAAATGATTCACGGTGCTGCTCCGCAAGGTTTTATGTCAAGGCTGTTTAGCAAAAATGCAACTGAAAATCCTTGTTTCAAGGAAGCAAAGATGGGAAGTCAGGATGCAGAGCAATCAACACAGTGTGCCAAGACGACAGGATTATCTTCAGATTTGATAAGAAGAAGTACCACAAGTCTAGCAAATGAAAGGGTTGAAAGCTCTTCAATTTGTTTTGACTCCAGGACAGAGTAGACACGCTTTAATTAGCACACCTGTGGCCATTCACAATGAGAGTCTAGACCTGCGAACTTCAGCTGCTTTTGTGCGATCTCTTCAAAGTCAGGCAACACACTGTTCATTTAGCACAGGTAATCTATCTCAGCTACACTACTCTCTTCCTTCAAATAACCCAATGGCTTACAGCACAGGAAATATTCACTCCCATTTTGAGAGCTGTACTACTTCTCCAGTCATGACCCTGGAGTCTTTTAAAGGTGGAAGTGCTCCCTCTTTGTTTGGGGTGACGAATCAGAACCTTTACCACGGTACTTTTTCTGAGTATGGGATTAGCCCATCATATGATGAAAACCAGTGGATCCGTGAAAGTGCTCTTTGGCAGCAGTTTCAGAATGAGTCTTTAAGCTACAACTTTCAAGGAGAAGATTACACACAAAACTGTGAAGGCATGCCATTGCCTGCATCTACACTTCACCGCGACTATTCAAATATTAATCACCCAGTGAATAACATTCCTTGGCAAGATGTTGCACATCAAGAAAAACAAATGGTATCACATTCATTTGAAGGGCCAGGAAATGAATACCCCCAAAGAAAGTTATGGAACAGTTATGAAGACTTGGGAAATATTGCATGTTCATCTCAAAAAGAAGCTGCTCTGAACTTAACAACTAACCACAGTAATGCAAAATTTGGGAAATGGCATTCGTTTAACGATGGTAGTTCTTACAGCTTGAATGGAGTCTTGTATCATGAAGGCTACTACGAAGAGAATGCACCAAGCTTGTCTTACTCATCAAACTGGCAACATGCAGTGGAAAGGGAAAATGCACAAAATGCTCATACTAACTATTTAAGTCAGTATAGTCAATTTAACTCAAATAGAAACTGTTCAGCAGGTGCAAATGTTGATACAGAGGACTCGCTGTACCTCGAAGATGCAGAATGGTATCAGCAATGGCTGACCCTTCTGGAGCAAGGGATGTGGTGGCCAGCAGAGGATGGTGACTGTGGGTACTTTGTTTACACCGACCATGAGTATGTTTATGCCTTACTTACCGATGCGGCAGGTGAATATGTGTATGCCTGTACACCTGAAGGTGAATCATGGGACAATGGACAGACTTTAGATAGTCTACCCAGTGCTTGGCTACACAATGAAATGGTCTTGGTCTGTGGTTTTAAAATTCCACTTTACAATGAAGATGAGCTTCTTTGGCTTCCTGGTGAAAGTCATGGCAATCCTCAACTTCTTAATGCTCCCCTGGATTTATCCGCTGCATACAGAAAAGGAAACCAGATCATGAATTTAAATCTCCAGCAGTTCACCGAAATGTTTGAAAATTCATTTATGTCTCAAGGGCAACAAGGCGTGGATTTTGCATCTTACAGATTAAACAAAGTAAGAGTAGATCCAAGACAAACCTCTTATGGCTATCAAGATTACAATCAAGATGTTATTGATCTTTCATGCCATCAAAGAGACCACACCAGCCTTTATTGGAACAATCATGAAGTAAAGAAATTGCTTGCTCAAAAAGTTTCTGTTTCTTTAAACTCTACTCCTGTTGAGAATTTAAATCATCAGATCCTAAACAAATGCTATCAGCCCAGCCAACGGCGGCGATCTTCTACTGCTGTTACAGTGAAACATGTAGATGATGTGTCAGAAGATGAATGGAGAAAACGGGTGTCTCAAGCTGAAGAATTTCCCAATCGGCAGGTTAAAAAGATTTCTTCCCTGATATCATCTTTTGTTACCAAACCATCCCAAGCGGAGGTGAAAAAACCTGGGGAGACGAACTCTGATCAAGCTGGTGGGAAACAAACCAAGAACATTCTGTCATCAGGCCTCCAAAATCTTAAGTCTAAGATTATCAAAGAAGACTCTTCGGCTACTGTTGCCCCTTCAGAAAGCAATAAACAGCAAACAACTTCGCAGGGTAGAATTTTACCAACAGTTCCCTCAGTTGCTCAGGTCACTCAGGCCTCAACACTCTCAAGTTCGACTTCACATAAACCACAACTTTCACGTCAGACTACGATGGTACAGCAAGCATCCCCACCAACAACAAAGCCCAATGTTACTGTACCCTTTACACCAAAACAATCTACTATTAAACCAGCACAACCTACGCCTGCAACTGATAAGCCAGTGGATACAAAAGGCGAAAAGCCACCCGAACAACAGCAGGGAGGCTTTATGGGTTTTCTCAAGTCTGCTGTAGGCATGGATGAAATTAAACCAGATGTCCAGACATCTTCTCAGCCTTCTCCTGATCTTCAAAGCAAGAGAGGGAGCACTACTTCCTTAACAGGCAGTGCCGCTGGAAATAAAGAGAGCACAGGTGTGTCAAATCTCTTTGGTTCAATTGGCAGCTTATTTAGTCCTGAACCTTCTCCACCTCCACCACAAAAACAGCAAATGAAACAGAGTGTTACAGAGGGAGCTCTCTCCTCTACATCTACATCAAAAGGTGAAGTAAGACAACAAACAGGTGGCCAGTCTGCGCAACCAACACAGCAGACACCAGGTAGAAGTATGTCTGAGGTTTTCTCCTCCAATTTACCCAAAGGTGTTGAAACTAGCAAGTCTGAAGTTGCTGGGCAAACAAAACAGGAGGCTGGAAATAAACCATCTGGACCATCTGGTGGACTTTTTGGATTGTCCATTGGCGATATGCTGGGTGGATCAACACCACAGACGTCTGCACAAGCAAGTGCTCCACAGGAAGAATCATTTAGTAAAAGTATATTTTCAATGTTTACGGGGCCAAGTCCTCAACAGGCAGCTCCTAAACCGGAACCCACACCTCAAACACACCCACCAGGTGCAGCTCAACAGCCTCCTCAACAAGAAACATTTGGTAAAAGTCTGTTATCAATGTTTGGAGGATCAACAGCTCCTCCACCCGCTAGCCATACCAAGCCGAACGCTGAGTCCTCACAAAAACCTACTGTTCTTCCAAAAGATCCTCCATCTACAGGATTTATGTCGATGTTTGGTGGGCCAAGCACCCAACAGTCTCAACCTCAATCAGAATCTTTTCTTGGGGGACTTTTGCAAGGGTCATCAAGTTCATCTGAACGGACAGTGAAAGGACTATTTTCAGTGTTCAGTGATGCCGGCCCTCAGCAACCTCAGCCACCGACTACGCCAGCTCACCAAGCAGCTCCTCAGTCACAATCACAGCAAAGGAAGGAGCCTCAGGTACAGTCTACACCACAAATACCTTCTCAACCTCAAGAGCCGACTGCTGCATCTGTTCTCGGAGGTCTGCTCGGTGGATTATCTGGCTCCACTGAAAGTCCACGAAAAAATTTGTTTTCCATGTTTAGTGGCCCGACAAATTCTCAAACACCAAATATTCCCTCTACACCAGCAACTGTGTCACCACAACAAACTCCCAACTCATCAATTGGTTCCAAAGAACCCCAACAACAAAAATTATCACAAATACCTGATTCCAGTGGCCATCGTGAAGAGACGGGTGATTCAGAGACCAGAGCTACCAGTGTTTCAGCTGAATTGCCAGGTGACATTGCTTTGAGTACCAAACCGTCCAATAAGGAAGAGGCCACAATTGCAGACATGGATGTTTCATCTGTCAAACCTACATCAGAGCCTACTGAAATGCCTAAGAAACCGTTGCAGCAACGGCACCCCAGGATCCTGGTACTGCTAAAGAATCAGCAGCTCCTGGTCTGCTTTCGATGCTCACTGGATCAGCCCCACATCCTCCATCCTCAGAAGGTCCAGGCAAAGGGTTCCTGTCTTTATTTTCTACACCAGGTTCTGAGGCTGCTAGCAGCCAGACAGGACCTTCACCTCCAGGATCTTTGCCAGCATCTTCAGGCTCCAAAGAGCCACCAGGCAAAGGTTTGTTCTCTATGTTTGGAGGTTCTGCTCCTGAGCCTTCCTCTCAGCCTGGAGGTTCACTGTTGGGGCAATGTTTGGAGGGAGCTCATCTCAAACTACTACATCTCAGACTGGAGGATCATTACTTGGTGGTTTATTTGGAGGCTCTGCAGCTCCGCCTGTGTCTCAGGGTGGTCCTACAAAGACTGGCGGGTCTATTCCTCAAACTGCAGGATCACAGACAGGGTCATCATTACTTGGAGGCTTATTTGGTGGATCCGGTCCTCAGGTCACAGGATCTCAAACTTCTATTTTGGGTGGGATTTTTGGAGGCACCGCACCGTCACCTACTGTGCCTCAAACAAGTTCAACAACTCAAAACAAAAGCTCTCTACTAGGAGGATTTTAGATGGATCGTCTTCCCAAACTGCTACAGCACAAACTGGTGCATCTTTTCTAGGTGGTATTTTACCAAGCGTTGGTGCTAATGATGCCTCTAATAAAGGTGTGTTTTCAGTATTTAGTGGGTCTGCTCAAGCTACAGCACCTACAGAAATGGACAAAAACAGTTCTGACAGCAAAACATGTACTGCTGTTGAAACAGGTGTAATTGATTCTGCTGCCCAAAGCACGGAGCAGAAGGAATCACAGCAGCAACCTGAGGGTAAAGGCCCTTGCCCTGAGGTCAATGCATCAACAACTGATGCAAAAGTCACAGATAATTTCCCAAGTACTGAACAGTCAGCATCTTTAACTAAAGATAGCCAGGCTAAAGAAGTAGAATCTTGCACACAACCACAACCTGAACTCAAAATTAGTGCAACTCAAGATTTAGCAACTCCTAAAGTAGAAGAGGAAAAAGTGGATCCTTTGACAGTAAGTCCTGCAGTTGAGACACAGCAAAAACCCCAAGAACCAGACAAATCTTCCATTGATTCAGCAGCAGATGCTGTTACTGGCTTTATGTCTTCTCTGTTTAAACCTGCATCTGCTCCTACTGAAGGCTCTCAACCAACCCAACAGCAGAAGAACTTGCCTTTTGGACCAACTCCTGCAGGTCAAACTGGAGCGTCACTGTTGGGAGGACTTTTTGGAGGGTCTAATACTCAATCGGCAACTCCCCAAACAGGTGGATCTTTACTAGGAGGCTTATTTAAAGGAGCTACTCCACAGTCTGGTCCTCAGACCACAGCACCTGTCAGTGGGGGGTCAATATTAGGTGACATGTTTGGAGGAGGATCCACTGCCAAACCATCAGCTGCCTCAAGTGGGGGATCACTTCTCGGAGGGATGTTTGGAGGTGCAGGTGCAGGGGCGACTTCACAGCCAGGTGGTTCTCTGCTTGGAGGAATGTTTAGTGGCCCCACCGGGCAGCCTGCAGGACCACAAGCTGGAGCATCGTTACTAGGAGGCATAGGAGGATCTCTGTTTGGTGGTTTAAGACAACCGGCTAAACCACCTGAACCAGTGCCAGCTAAGCCAAGGTTGGCTACTCCTCCTCCTGCTGCTGCTGCTGCAACTCCTGCTACAGCTGCAACTGATCATACTGCTACAGATGCTGCTACTGCAGAAAATGTCAGTATTGCTGCCACTACCACTACTACCAGTACTGGCACCACCGCCAGTAGTGATGCAACAATTGCTAGTACTTCTACCACTCTTGCAACATCTACCACAGCAACTACAAAACCAGGTTCACAGTCTGAAAATGAAAATATCTCACCAGAAGTAACTCTGCCTATGCATCAAACAGAAGTAACAAACAGTAGCAGTAATGGACAGGCATCTAACGCATCTTGTGCACAGGTTTCTGGAGCGATTGAGTCAGAAGATACTTCAAAAGAACTTACTAGTCAGCCAGAAAAGACTGAGCAAGAAATGGCAACTGCAGATAGACAAGTGATACATGAGAAACCAATGTTCATTGAAGAAAAACCCAACTCTAATCAAAATGCTAAGTCAATTCCTCCTCATTTGGATGCTAGTAAAGCCACCCCAACTGAACAACCCCCCAGTGGTGCTGAACAACCTCAAACTAAGTCATTTTTGGGTTTTATATCCGCACAAAGTGATGCAGGAAAATCTCTCGGGTCGTTATTTTCTCCTGCTATGCCATCAGTTGTTTCATCACTACCTCAAACAGAAGGTACCGGTGGTCTATTGTCAGGACTGAAATCCTTTTCTGGAACCTTGTTTCAAGAAGAAAAAAGCGTTGCAGCAAAACAAGAGTCCACAACGTCATTGTTTGGGGCAAAAATTAGTTTTCCATGGCAGGCAGAGCCACCCAAGTCTTCAGCTTCCCAGGTTACAACAACTCAACCCCAGTCTGTCAACAAGCCAACAAGTGGTCAAACACATAGTGCAGAAAAGGCTTCAGCACCTGACCCCCATAAAACCGAACTGGTAGGTTCTGCAGATGACATAGTAAACCCCCAGATTTGCATCTCAGCTCCTGATGTAGATCCTTCAGCATCCCAGACCCTAACGGAGAAGGAGAGGCTTGTAGAAACAGACCCCTCTGCAGGTTCTGCCGCAGGAGTGCAGCTGGACAACCAATCCAAGAAGGATCTATTGATTGAAAAAAGGCCAGTAAAAACATAATCAATGGTATCCCCCTTCACCATTTATGCTGCGTTGACAGCTTTTAAAAATGTGTTCCCTGTCCAGCTCTGCAGTCCATTGTCTCTTGCGTAGTGTGGTTGTGAATGTGTTGGTGTGTCTGACTCCAGTTGTTTTAATTTTCTCAAATCAGAACTCCAAATAAATTTACACCAGAATAAGGAAGAAATCTGATAAATTATTTAGACCGATTTCTTCTTGTATTTGGAAATTTTGTTGCTTTGTCAAGAGCTACAATATGTTTTGTCTGACTGCGGAGTTCTGATTTGATCAAACCCATTGAAATCGTTTTACACTGTATGAAAATGAAACATTTTTCCCTAAAATTGACACTTTATGTGCGCATGGCTTGTAGCAGGTAAGTGGGATTTATTAAAGCCAGTTATATTTTTTTGCGGGACGATTAGTTCAGTGGACTCATGGGATTAGGTTTTAAATTCCACTGAAAAGTCCCCACTGTACTCTCAGCTTCTCTGATTTAACTACAAGGTATGGAAAAATGTCCCGTCAGTTTCTGAATGTTTCCCTCACTCCTCTCTCACAACTGTAGTCCGGTGGAAAGTAATCGTTTCGGGTCGTCGGGGAACCTGAGCCAGGCTAGCTCGCAGCTAAGCGAGACCGGCCATGAGAGCACCGGCGGCTCCGAACTGGAAGAGTCTTTCCACTCCTACCATAGCACCGGCTTACACCCGTCCACCAACGGCCAGCCGCGTCCCACCGGGCCTCCCGCCAACGGACACTCGACTGGCAGCGAGAAGGACGCAGACATTCAGTCCAACGAACTACTGCAGAGTTTAAAGAGCGACGCATCAGAGAAAGAAGCACCAAAACTCCCAAGGTAACGTTGGGGTTTGAGTTTCTACTCTTTTACTGAAAGTGGAAGAGATCTGTGATGTTAACTCTCCATGTTAGATTCCATGATGGAGGCCAGCCGCTGCCTTTCTCCCCGTCTAGAGTTCGTTGGTTGAAAGCCATCAACAAAGTGAGAGTTCAGCTTCGGGAGGTAAAATCTTCTCTTTCAGTCGATGACTTCTTTTCCCAACACAAAGATGAAGTAAATGAACTTTGACTCTGGTTGAGTTTAACCTCTCTAGGTGTTTCACCATTTGCTAAAATGTTTGAAGTTTCTGCATAGTTTTTCTCTGATACCATTTTTACAATCAGTCTTAAGTGGTAACGTTTTTAAAGACTTTTAGCAGAGGTTTCGTATTTCAGTTGCTGCAGCCTGGATCCCCTGCATGTTATTGTTTACATATGGAAATATCACACATGCACTCAACTCTGGAGGGCCAAATGCAGAACAACTCTATTAAATAAATACTATTAGCTAATTTAAACACCTGCTCTGCTGATGGTGTGTGTAGGTACCTTATACTGTATATTTATATTGTATTGACAACAATTAGTCTCTTTATCTTTCATATATTACAGGAACATTTAAGATTTAGCATGTTACGTTGACAACTTGAATCAATTATTGAAATCTTTTACTCAATTAGTTACAGAAGAACAACACACAAAATTGTATAGAAAATATATTAATTTTGCACTTAAGATGACGGGGAAAAGATCTTGTCTGTAAATATTTTCCTTTGATACATTGAATGAATAAAAGTAAGAATTTGCTGCATTTCAGCCTCAGATTAGAAATTAGGCAGAAAATACGGAGAGAGAGGAAGAGGAGAGGAAGAGGAGAGGAAGAGAAGCTGCATCGAACGCGGTGGGAGGGAAACCATGATGCCTTTCTGAGGAAACGCCGCCTCCTCCCATCATTCTTCTCCTTTAAGTGAATGAAATTAAAGCTGTAGCTGTTAAATCGTCTGAAATGTAGCAAAACATCTTATGAAGCAACAAAAGGCTTCACTGATTCTCAGCATGTGGATCTGATTTATCCCCAACAAGGTAAGGTCTGTATTCACATTTTTACTTATTGGTGTTTTTAGCACAGTTAACATTTGGCGTCTGATTCATTCCCTGAAATCTGAAAAGTAAAGGACAAAGTAAGGACAGCTTTTTGTTTAAGGTACATTTAAATGTTTCCTTCCTTTTATTTTAAAACTCAGATTTTTTTTTTCATTTTTATATCAGCTTTAATTTAGTTTTCAGAAAAAACTGCATTTTTTCCTTCCTTCCTTTCACCATTTCGTCTCCTTTTCTTACTTCTTTCCCTCCTTCTTTTCATTCATCCGTCCTTATGCCATTTCTTCTTTGCTTTCTTTACTCTTTTTCCATCCTTCCCTCCTTCTTTCCTTTTTTCTTTTGTTCCTTTCTTCCCTCCATTTCATCCTTTCCTACTCCTTTCTTTGTTCCTTCTTTCTTTCCTCTCGTTCTTTCTTCCTTTCTTGCGTAACTGAAACTCTCAAACAGAAAATGACTAAATGATCTGCCATTAAATCAGGTTTTATTTAGTTTTCCTTCCCAGTAAAGTGTTGTACTTTAACTTCAGAGTGATCAGCTGTTGCAGCTGATTGACGTGACTTCAGGATTAAGAATCGTTTTGTCGTCTAATTGCTGCTCTGTCTCTCCAGAGCTGCTAATTACAGACAGCTAAGCAGCTGCTGGTTGTTACCTCCACAAATTTAGCTGAGATGTCAGTGAAAACTGGACTAGTTGTCTGATTTCTGCACTGTAAAGACTATAGTTGTCTCTGACTGAAATAGATCCTTCACTTGTCTGTAAAACAACAATTTATCCACCAAGTTGAATTATATTTTGGTAAATCTTTCATTGTTCTGCTCTTACTGTGGAAAACCAGATATTTATGAAGACTGTTTAAAAAAACTAATTTTAGTTCAGAAAGTTGATGGATTCTGTGGACAAAAGCAAAAAACCTTGTAAATTTGTTGATTAGTAAGAAACGGCCATTTTCCAAAGTTTCCTGTCCAACATGGACTGAAAAGCCAAATATCACTGAAATCATGTTTTTTTTCCCCCTTCCAACATCAACAAAAAGATTTACTGTAGCTACTCTCAGTTGCAGAGCTCGCTGTTTTTCATGCGCTGGACCAGCTGACAACAAGCTCCACCTCCCAGGAATGTTTCCCAAAGGACGGACTGGTGGACAAGATGAAAATCCACTTCAGGTCTCCCCAAAAGGCCAAGTGCTGCAGACGAAGAGCTCAAAGAGTCCAGACTTGGGGGAAAGCTTGCACAGAAAGCCGCTGGGGATGGAAGATAATGCCCCTTGTAACGTTTCAGCAGCCAACTCTACCAGCAACAAAGCTAGCATAGCCTCAGTTGGGGAAAAGAGAGTATCTCAGCGCCAAGACGGCAGTGCAGCTGGGGATGATACCAAACATGGTGCACAGGAGAAGATGCCAGTTGAGGAAGCAGAGAAAGGTTCTGGTAACATAGTGGAGAACATCCTTAAAGAGCTGAAGGGTATCAATAAGATCCAGGAGGAAATATCTGATCTGAGGCAGTATTTAACGTCTGTGCGCGGCTCAGTGGATGAAGTATCCTGTTGTGTCGACGCAGTGCTCAGTGAAATAGGTGAGCTGTACTGCGGCGCTTCAGCCACACCTCAACCGAGTCCGGTTCCTGAAACGGCACGTATCAGACGAGGAAGTCTGGACAGACAGAATGCCGTCATGTGTCTCCACGAGAGAGATCCCAGTCCACTGTTAGATAACACCTTGTATGGAGAAGATTCAGGCTCTAGAGCGACTAAACATTGGCAAGAAGAGAACAAAACTGATGGTGTTCTCCGTCCATTTAGCTTTGACAACTTGGAGCAGAGTTCAAATCCTGACGTCTGCAACTTGGAACGTCATTGTGGACAAAACTACCAAAGCACCAGCTCTCTGTCATCGTCCTATAGCTCAAACTACCAAGAAGCAGGTTTTTCTTCTGGTGACACAGAATGCAATGTCTGGCGTTGGAGTGAAGAAGACATCTCCTCTTGTGGCCAAGACGGTTGGAAGAAGGAACCACCGTGTGTTGGAGTGGGATCTTCCCCAAACAGCAGTTCTGAACACCTTTCTCTGTTGTTTGGACAGCAGTACAACTCTTCCTCAAGTTCTTCCAGTAAGGCTGCATGGAGGCCAACCGATGAAGCTGAGGAGGAAACCCTGGACTGTGACTGCGCTGCAAACTGTCCATATTCCCGAAGTTCTGGTTACCACACAACAGACGCCTGCGCAAACGACCTGGACAGCGAGCCATCGAGGAGCTTGAGCTGCTCTACCGTTCTGTTGACTGATTGCGATGACGGTTACCCGGCACAACATTCACCCTGCGATGAATATCCATCTTCTGCGGATACTCTTGATCTCGGGTCCGCTGAGAGTCTGGACAGGGAATGGACAGACCAGAGCCTTTCCAGAGGGGAAGTATTGGAATCATTATCACAAACATCTTCTGACATAGATTCAGAGACCATACCCCAAACCCCCATTGACAAGGTTGATGAAACAATGTTCAGCGAGGCTGTGGTCACTTTTAGTTCTGCTTTAAAAGGGGAAATGAGGAAGATTTCAGTGCCCAACCTGAGGGAGTGACTGACTCTCACTTGTCTCCATCACCGGTTGGACGAGCCGGTGAACCCAATGAGAAGGAAGTTCACCAATTTACCTCTGCAATGCGGGACTGTGGGAGTAGTCAAACACATGACAAGACACCAGTTCTCCACAAGAACTTCCCACTCCAACCAAGTATAAATTAGAATTGGCACAAAAAACTGAGGAGAGCAGTGGAGAGTTGTCCAGCGTTGACGTAACCCCAAACCACAGTCCTGCAGTACGGCCGAAAAGTCTTCTGGACCCAATCAGCGAAAATGGTCCCACTGCTGAGGGAGACCAAGCGAACCAACTGATCCCAGCCATAGAGAGCGAATTGCTAATTTTCAGCGCATATTGAGAGAAAAAAGACAGACACAGCGTCGACTCTCCAGATCCACTCAGGGTTCCTACGGTCTCAGGGATCTCAGGGATCCAATCGCAAGACGAATTCATCCCAGGTATCTCTAAAAATGCATTCAGGTTCTTCTTCTCTAACTTTAATTACAATGCCAGAAATTAGGGTTAGGTATTAATTGGTGTTTTGAAGATTTAATTTTTGGATAATCTGGGTATGGGGATGAAAAATCGCATTTCAGCCAAAAATCACAATTGACCAACAAGTGAACGCAGAGTCTGATGCACTTGAATTTAAAAGAAAAATAATTTAAACCACTTTATGTGGTTTATATTATCCATGATCTGTTTTTTTTTCCCTTTTCAGAGTTTGGAAGAGAAGAAAATCAGGTTACACAAAATATTTTAATTATTCGCCCATGTTTCTTTGTGGTGTTGTTTATTTTTACTTGTTAAAGAAAATAAAAATGTGTTTTATGTTTTATGTTGTGTGTGTTTTTGTTTTCATTTGTTTTGTTCACAAGTTTTACCACCAATGCCGGTTAGAAAGTATCTGCATTAAAATATTGGTTTCGATCTGAAAAGTAAGCCGATATCAACAACTGATAAATATTCCTCTACACTGTTATAAATCTGTATTTTTTAATATTTTGACCTGTGTGAATTTGCATGCTACCACTAGTCTGTCCCCACTGTGGGAAAATAAAGTATATTTTTGTTCTTTTTCTTCTTTTGGCCATCACCAGGATACCATATGTACAGCTACTGAGTTTAATAACTTAATGAGTTTTTTATGTGACATCAGAGAGGTTAACCTCAACCAGACCGTTTCTCCTTTCCTCTCAAAATGTCTTCAACCTAAAATCTTTAAAATATTCCCACAGGTCAGAGATGTGGAGCCCAACAGCAGACAGGCCTGGGTCAAACCAGGGTAAGTTTTACCTTCTTATTACAAGTTTACTGATCACAGCTTGAATGCTTTTGACCAGGAGGGAAGGAGTTTATGGTGCCAGTGCAGATCTAGTGGAGGTTTCTGTGTTTTATGAGTTTCTGCCCTCATTATGTTGGCAGCGGTGGATCTGGCCTGTATGGAATCGACAGCAGATTTGCGTAAGAAGAAGCCCTTCCCCCTGGTCAGCGAGGTGGTCAGTACCGTTCATTCATTCTCTTCTATCTGTCATGTTGTTTGCTTCTTTCTCTTAGCTTTAAGTTTTTT